GGAATCAAGGCCGATGGAAGGAGGCCGAAGAGCTAGAGATGCAAGTTATGGAGACGAGAAAGAGGGTACTTGGCGCAGAGCATCCAGACACGCTGACCAGCATGGCCAACCTGGCGTCGACGTATAGGGGTCAAGGCCGATGGAAGGAGGCCGAAGAGCTGCAAGCGGATGAGTTAAATATATGCTCAAGGGTACTCGGCGCAGAGCATCCTTCCACGCTGACCAGCATGGCCAACCTGACGTCGACGTGGAAAGCGCAGGGCCGAGATACGGAGGCTATAGGTCTAATGATGGAGTGTGTACGGCTTCAAGAACAGGTTCTAGGTACCAGCCATCCGTACTTCATTTCTTCCTCGAATATATTGGCGGATTGGGAGGCAGAGCAACGAGACGCTCGCAAAATAGAATAAGCAGAGGGCAGGAGGACGCTGGCGCTGTCGGCTAGGGTTGCTGTGGTCGAAAGGCACCCGCTTTTGATTATTCAGAAGGGATAAATCTCAAATGTACGGTCAGTTGATCGCTCGTTAGTCTGGGCCAAGATTAGTTAACTTAGAGAGTCTGATTTGGTAGTTAGTGGTAATTTACAATTGTTTCAAACCTCCAGCCTCCACTGGTGGTTATTCGTCCTGAATATGACAAGTTAAGGACATCCTGTCGCAACTTGCAAGAGTACTTGTGCTTAGAGTCCTTACTTTTGACTGATATTTTTGAATCGATCGCAGTGGTAGTAATATCATGTTTTAATATCAGTTTTGTGAGGGTAGCTCTGTTTGACTAGGAAGCCGTGGCCAGGTCAGCAAGGAGTGCAAAGCTTAAATGCGTTGCGAACGTGTTGCGAGGCTGCTTTAGGATATCATGTAATAATACCGAATCTCTAACCTCCCTCCCTATGCCGGGCACCCCTGCGTGCCGGGCCAAACCATAGGTACTTCGACTTCAGAGCAAGCCAGAATCTATGCACACATTGATATTTCTATAGTTCTGTTTAAATCGTGCGCTATAGCCATTCCTTAACTTCGAGTCCCCTCCTACTCAAAAAATTACGTTATCGTGGCCGCCCTTTCACCCGATTTCCGGAGACTATTCCTTCACTACGCAACAGAATTCCTCCACGAAGGCACCACCATCGTGCCCTTATTATTTTTAAAACCCATTAAAAGTCCTTATCCGAGCCCTAGAGTCCTACAACGATGCTGGACATAATCACTACCGATGTGGCTGTGCTACCTCTGGATGGATCGACACAGTGAGTCCATGATATGCCAAATGAACGATACTGCAATGTTGCGCGGTTTTCAGGACGCGACCAGCGCTAGGCTGATCAAGAAAAACTCGTTCTAGATGGGTAGGAATTACTTTCAAAATTGCCTCCTTCTCCTGTTTAACACCATAGAGCGTAGGGAGGCCGCGAGTAGTGACTATAGTAGATACGTAAATGCAAATTAATTAAGTTATGATTGCATTAGAGCTAGCAATTGATATCGCGCTCACTGTTACTGCGCAGTGCGTCCAAAGCTAAACTAAGACTTTGATATCTGTCGCTCAAGCGTCCGAAAACCGCTTCAACACCAAGGAGAGCCTGTCCACATAGTTCCTCCGCTTCCCGCACTCTGCCTGTCTGCTGAAAGATATTGGCCATATTCTGAGCTGTGTTGAGCGCCGGTATATACGTCTTCGCCGCTTCTTGGCCGAGTGCCTTCTCAAAGCCTTGCAGCGCTCGCAAGTACATCTTCTCCGCCT